CCTATCTGACAACGGCTCTCTTGTTTTCGGCAACCGGCGTCGTACCAAGCGAAAAGCAACACCATGTCCGGACGTGGCAAGGGCGGCAAGGCGAAAGGCAAGAGCAAGACCCGTTCTAGCCGCGCGGGGCTTCAGTTCCCCGTGGGCCGTATTCACCGCCTCCTACGCAAGGGAAACTACGCCGAGCGCGTCGGAGCTGGCGCTCCGGTCTACCTGGCTGCCGTACTCGAGTACCTGGCCGCCGAGGTGCTCGAGCTGGCGGGCAACGCCGCTCGTGACAACAAGAAGACCCGGATCATCCCCCGTCACTTGCAGCTCGCCATCCGCAACGACGAGGAGCTGAACAAACTGCTTTCCGGCGTCACCATCGCGCAGGGCGGTGTGTTGCCCAACATTCAAGCCGTGCTTCTTCCAAAGAAGACGGAGAAGAAGGCGTAAGCGAGCACCCCTTCCGCGCGCTCGCCGCATTCCCCAAACGGTCCTTCTAAGGACCACCCAAACAGGTGACGCGGCCGTGTTTCGCTTCGCAGTCACGATGGCTCTGTTCGTACCCTCAAGCGTGTTTGTTTTCTATACTTTATATATATTTCCTCGCGACATCAGTTAGCCACAAGTGCGCGACGCCAAATGCTGCAAAGAGACAACCAAATCACGCAGCTCGGCACCGAAAAAGACAGAAAAGAGCATGTAAGCGTTGTCATTTCTCATTAAAAAAAAAAAAAAGCTCCACACGTAACCGTCTATCCTTACGATGACACCTGAACGGGTCAGCACAGGGACAGAGTAAATTTAATACCTTTGAATAGAAAAACAAACGTAAGGTAAAAAAAAAAAGAGAGAGAGAGAGAGAGAACCCGCCGTTAGCGCAATTCCATTTGGTGCTTCTAACACAATTTATTTCGTCTATCTTGCTAGGCAGCGCAGCCACTATTACACAGAACACACAACACAAGCGCTTAACTTCAACTACACGTTTATTGCAAAAAAAAAAAATTGTCCAGAATATGGCACAAAAACTTGTTCAGCTTCAAAAGAAATGAAAGGAAATGACACGCGATGATTTCGAGTGTGTTAGTGCACTCTCTATCGCGCTCACGCGGAAAGAACTGTTTTTTGGATGGGGTGATAGAGAATAACAGACAGTAATGTGCGGGACTGGCACGTGTGCTTTTTGTTGTCTACCTTTTACTATTCTTTTTCTCTGTTCACCCCCTTCGTAAACTCTGACGTTTGCAATAAACGTTCAGTTGAAGTTAAGCGCTTGTGTTGTGAGGTCTGTGTAATAGTGGCTGCGCTTCCTAGCAAGATGGATCCTTACCAACTGGCCCGATACAATTGTTTATTTCGTCTCTCGGTAAAACTTCATCACCTCCTACGAGTGCACCCAAAAGTTGCGCCGGGGTCCAGCAGCCCAAGTCACCATGGCGTTACGCAAACAGAAACAGCCCTCAAAAACACCTTACAAGCGGCGGGCAAAAAGGTAAATACATAAATCAAATTGACGCACCACAGGTTCGCAGCACGGCTGCTGCACACACACCGACTGAAGCTAGCCTACATTTTCTCTGTCTACTCATAATGATACACACTTTTACCTTGAATTTGTCAAAGCTGAGCCATTTCTTCGTAATAACGACGCGCCGACGTTCCGTTCTTCCGCGCGCTAGACAACGGCAGCCACGTACGTACAAAACATGACAGCAAAAGAGGGTGCGGCCGGAGTACGTGGCCTGGAGTGGTCTCGTAGCCAAAGCAGACACGTTGGTGGTCCTGAGAAGGACCGTTTGTTGTTGCTTGCCTGTCGACCGAAGCGCAGGGAGCAGCCCAACTTAGGCGCGCTCACCGCGAATGCGCCGAGCCAGCTGGATGTCCTTTGGCATGATGGTGACGCGCTTAGCGTGGATGGCGCACAGGTTGGTGTCTTCGAAAAGACCAACGAGGTAGGCCTCGCTAGCTTCCTGTAGGGCCATCACGGCAGAACTCTGGAAACGGAGGTCCGTCTTGAAGTCCTGAGCGATTTCCCGCACCAGGCGCTGAAAGGGAAGCTTGCGGATCAGCAGTTCGGTCGACTTCTGGTATCGGCGAATTTCACGCAGGGCCACGGTTCCAGGCCTGTAACGGTGAGGTTTCTTCACCCCGCCTGTGGCAGGGGCACTCTTGCGAGCAGCCTTGGTAGCAAGCTGCTTACGCGGAGCCTTGCCTCCAGTACTCTTGCGCGCGGTTTGTTTAGTTCGGGCCATGCTGCGTGCGTCCGATCACCTCGACTGACGGAGCGAAACTGCGCTCCTGCCGGAGATCGGCAAAAGCGGCTTCGCCGCACGACCCATCTCTCTCCCTCCCATTGGCCGAAGCGTGAGAACCCGTCCGCGTGCGAGCGCGGAAGCGTACGCCAGGATGCTGGCTGGCGCTCATTTTCGGGCAACCGTGCAGTTCGCGGCTGCAAAGAGGTACACCGAAACGAAACCACTACCGCTGTACAATACAGCCTGCTGCGCATTTCTTTCGCCTTCCAGGCAACACATCAATCGACGCTGTAGCTCGTCGCTTCCCGAAGCGGCGCGACGGAGTGCGAGACGCCACCATTCACGCCAACAGCGCGCATCGCACTAGAGCGCCTCGCATCACCGAGGCAAATGCGCACTGCCACGCCAAAAAAACTTGCTCCTTGCGTTGTCGCTTATTTGCGACCATTACGTAGAGTGGCGAAGACGACGAGAGACCACCGGCAGTGTTGGTATATGCATACACGTCCGCGCAACGACAAGGAGTAAAACGCAACAAAACATTCTAACACAAACACCCCGTACATCCAACTGCCAGCTGAGCGCGCCTACTTGCTCAATAGCAGACAGTAACGGGACTCAATTTTATCTTCCTTTTCCTCTTAAGAATCACTCATACATACTTGCCAAACAACTAGGTGCGCTCAATGGCGGTTGGATGTACGGGGTGTTTGCGTTCGAATGTTTTGTTTCATTTTTACTCCTATTCCCTCGATATGTCGTCTCACTCTGGCTTCCCTCATGTCTCTTTCTCTACACCTTTATTCCCATCCTTTTAATCCCTCCTCACCCCCCATCCCTTGTGAGCTACCGCTGAGGTGTCGCATCCTGATGCAGACAGTTTCGGGGCTCACTTTCCTCTTCTTTTCCATCTTACACATCAGCAATCCCCCCCCCCCACCTATAAGTGCTAAATATGTGGCACAAAAAGCAGGAAATGGACTCAATGAAAGGGTGAAAAATAATAATCATAATAGAAACGAAGATCAACACGCGCCTCAAAAAGCCCCATTCACTCCTCTTTCACATTTTCACGAGAAGATGAAGGTACACACTTGGAGAACAATTTTTGGTATAGGTAGGCTTGCCTGAGCAGAACCACTGTCGTGCGCCTTGGTTACACATTCGACACGCCTCGTCCTGTGCGGAGGTGGGTGGGAAACCAAGGGTGCACTTGAAAATGCAATGCTCGTGGGTTGGTGTCGCCATCTGACGGCAGGCTCACGCGAGCGCGCCTTGCTTTCGAATTTCCCGCGCTCGAACCTCTCGCGTTTACATCATGGGCTAGTCCCCCCCCCCCCTCTCGCGTGGGCGGCGAAGCCAGCCTCCCTAGAGTGACCACCTCTGCCGGCGAAATGAAAACACTTGTTGCGTAGCTGTCCATCCAAGTAAAGCTTTCACAACTGCAGTGTTCGCAGCACCAGTACAGTACATGAGTGCCACTTCTATCAAGTGCAGCTTCCCTCAGCACGCTGCATGGGCAGCGCTTATTGTGTACTTGCTTCTGGCTTGCGCAGAAATTCTGTTTAAACATCCCCTTCCACTTTTCTTTCTTTTTTTTTGTATTTTGCAGCTCGGCAGCGCCAGGTGTGAAAAAAAAACAAACAAACATTATTAGGCGTGACAATGTACACAATGTGTTATTGAATGGGGCACTTCTGAGTGCACAGCGGGCGCGGTAAACACGACCATTTTTTTTCATTTTCATTTTATTTTTTATTCGGACATTTCCGCAGAAATGCCCACGAAGGGGGCAAAAGGAGAGTGTGTCTCCTGACTTGGCCCCTCTTCGTGAGGCACCTCGGGCAGGTAGAGCAGGACAGTACAAAACACCATAACATATTTTGAAATACAATACAAGTTGAAAAACAGTGAATACTATAAATATTACATACATTACATATTTCCTTTACATACACTGTAGACTTGTGTTCTGTTTATTACATTGTAAATTCGCTTCTTAAATTGTGTTATGTTTTTAGCCTCCTTAGCGTATTCAATTATTTCAGGAATCCTGTTGCACAGTAGAATGATTTGGTTATTAATTGACTGTACACCATAGTTAGTCCGGCACATTGGCCCGACCAACGCAACAGTACGCAGATTATACGTAAGATCTCTGCTTAAGTACACATCAGAAAAAATCTGGAAATTATCTTTAATTTTTTTGAAGATTAACATGGCTAGTTGCATCCTATAGCACTCTGGGAACGGGAGTACATTATACATATAAAAAAGAGACATATTAGTGGGGACCGAGGTACTTATCAAACCTAGTGCGCGTTTTTGAAGAAGAATTATACTTTCTGTATTTGTTTTGTTACACGTACCCCAGACTAAAATGCAATAAATGATTTGCGAGTAGATAAAAGAAAAGTAAAGCTGCCGTTTAACTCTCCCTGGAAGGAGATGCTGTAAGCGTCGAATTAGACCGATCGATCTTGATATTTTTATTCGCAGGTTGTCCACATGGTGGGACCAACTAAGGTCACTTTGAAAACACACACCCAGAAACTGAATTTTATTTACCTGCGCAATATTTTCTCCATTAAAAATCAGAGAGATAGCATAATCTACAGGCCTATTTTTTTGTTTGAAGAGCATAAATTTAGTTTTTTTTATGTTTAGTTCTAGCTGATTGACTGTAAGCCATGATTTTAGTTTATCCAACCAAGAATTTGCAGTTATTTCAATATCGCGAAGATCTAAACCAGAAAAGAAGGCATTGGTATCGTCGGCGTACATGACTATGTTTGGTGTGAACTGAATGTTAACTATGTCATTGATATAAAGTATAAAAAGTAGAGGACCAAGTATCGATCCTTGGGGAACCCCATACTTAATTACGCCCAAATCAGATTTATAATTGTGGAGCTGTACATATTGTTTCCTGGCCCAAAGATAGCTTTTCATTAGATCAAGCGCAATCCCGCGTATTCCATACAGTTGAAGTTTCCTAATTAATATATCGTGCTTTATCGAGTCAAAAGCCTTACGGAAATCGAGAAATATTCCCACAGTGTAAAATTTTTTTTCAAAGTTATGAAGTAGGCTGTCCTTAATACGGAGTAAAGCAGACTGAGTTGATCTACCTGGTTGGAATCCACACTGTTCTTCACAAATGACATTTCTGTTTGCTATAAAAGAAAATACCCTCTTATATATCAGGCGTTCCGCGACCTTAGAGAAAAGCGGCAGAATAGAGATTGGGCGATAATTTTGAAGTTCATTTTTATCACCTCCTTTAAAAATTATTGTTACGCGAGCTATTTTCATGGCACATGGAAAAATTCCCGTCAGGAAGAGTCTGTTGCATATGTAAGTGAATGGGGCGACAATCAAATCAGCAACTGCCTTGATAGGTGCTGCGGAGATGCCATCTTCTCCTGGTGAGCTGTTCTTTAGTGAGCATATGACAGTGGCTACTTCCTCCTCGGTAACGGGTAATAAAAACAAAGAATTAGTGGAAGAGCTTTCAATATAGCATTCAGCCGGTTTAAGGTCAGTCGCTTGTGTTATATTACTTGAGGATCCTGCCTCAAGGAAATGAAGGTTAAATTTGTCTGCCAGTGCCTTGCCACTGAAGTGAATATCGTTTATCTGTATATAGCTAGGGACAGTGGCTTGTTTTCTTCCTATCAATTTATTAACCGAGCTCCAAACCATTTTTGAGTTGTTAATCACTGTAGAAAACTTGTAGGCATAGAAATCTATTTTCGCCTTCTTGAGGTCTTTGTTTACTTTGTTTCTAAAATTTTTAAACTCAATGAGGTCAGTTTGTTCTTTTGTTTTCAAAAAGTGCTGGAAAAGTTTGTTTTTTTCATTTATCCGCTTAAGAAGTGCCGGCGTAATCCACTCCTTTCTTGCTCTCTTGTGTTTCTTTACAACAACGTACGGAAAAGCAGTATTGTAGTTACTAACCATTTTTGACATAAACAGGTTGTATGCCTTAGACGGATCAGGTTCTCGGTACAGGTCATCCCAATTGCAGTTAAACATTAGAGAGCGAAAACGGAGAATATTTGGATCGTTTATATCTCTACGCATGTATTTTGGAGAATTCTGCAGTTCTGGCATTGTTAATAGTGCAAAAAAAGGTAAGTGGTCACTTATACCAGAGCTGAATACTCCGGCTAATGCACTGTCAGGGGATAAATTAGTGAAACAGAGATCAATGATCGTTTCTGATGTGCTTGTTATTCTGGTAGGAGTGCTAATGATGTTTTCGCAGCCATGAGACAACATTAACTCCATTAGTTTTAGCTTAATAGGACCATCTTTTGATATATCTATATTAAAATCACCAAATGATATCACGAACCATCGATTAGAATTAGCATGATGTTGAAGCTTCTCTAAAAACTCAAGAAGTGAGTCAGTATTACCATTCGGGGGGCGGTAGATCAGTACTATTACAACCTTGTTGTGTATCACAGTAACTGCTTCGAAATCACTACACACAACACAATAGTCGGGCCACGCCTCATAGGGCAAATTTTTTTTGATATACAAAGATACACCGCCACCGCGTTTTCCAGTTCTGAATACTGATTCCATATTGTAATTTCCCAAACTGACCACGTCTGACTGTGAAGAAAACCATGTCTCCGAGAAGCCCATGATATCAAAGTCATAGTTGAGGTGTACTAATTCGCTTTCAATTTCCTCACCCTTGTTCCTCATACTCTGTGCATTAATATGATAAAGGGAAAGACCACGTTCAGAAAGAAAGTTCGAGTCCTTAATCAAATTCTTGAAAGAGACAGCATTGTAATGCATCGACTTGATCATCAAAACAGAAAAAAGCCATAAAAGGCGATAGGTACAGTAAGTGTTTAAACAATCTTGTTTAGATCATCTTCAGATACAATTCGGATTGCGCGTGCTTCTGAATTCTTTCTGACAAAAATCTTTCCCTGTGAAGACCAAGTGAATCGATAGTTCATCTCGGTGGCTCTAGTCCTTGCCATCCAAAGGAGCTTCTTATTTGCAGGAGTTAAGTTATCAAATAGCTGAATATTACTGTTTTTTTCTCTTAGTTCGGCACGTTTAGCAAGCCATGCTGCCTTCAAGCTCAGTCGAGCGAATCTTATCAGTATAACTGGGGGTTTCCCTTTACGGGGTGGCAAGCGATGCATGCTTTCAACGTCACAGTCAGATAGTGTCTGCAGGTCAAGCCTCTTCGCAAGGTCGTTAACTCGTGACAGGGTATCCTCTTTTTCAATAAACGGCATGCCATGAATTTCCAGATTCTGGCGGCGACTATATTGCTGAAGGTCATTTAGTTCTAGGTTTAGCTTGCGAATTTCTTTTTCGTCAAAATTTTGTTCCACAGCTTCTACTCTGTTGCGGAGGCTTTCTATGTCTCTATCGTGCCTTGCGCTGATTTCAAGAAGCTTGTCATGCGTATCTGACATGTGCTGAATGGATTGTTCAATGCTGGTGACTGTTTGCTTTAATTCTGTAAGGTCATCGACCTTAGTTGTCAAGTGCGCCAAGCATTTGTTAATTTCCGCAAGTTGCTGGCTCAAGGCTTCCGTTAAAGCTGATTGATCAGCGTTATTATTCATCTGAGTGTTCCTAGATGAAGGCACACGGCAAGTCTGACATTTTAAGGCTTTCTTTGCCTCTTTCCCTTTCTTTTTATAGGTACGTTCACTTATTCCGATACATTCTCCGATGTGATAGCATTGCCGGCATTCTGCACATGTTATGACATCCTCATCTTCAGAAAAGTATTGTTTACAGGATTCACATACGTCACTCATTGCAGCACTTGTCTAGTCACAAAATACAAAACTCGAGGACAGCAGTAGCGGCAGGAGCAGTTTCAAGCGATAAATAACGTACCAAAACTAACCAACCTGCGCATGGGCAAGAAGACAGTTAGGACCGCGCTCCGCTGAACCGTCTGCCGCCACTGCTGCCCGAAATGTGGTTGAGTCCCACGATGCGACCGAGTATATAAAGGGCGGGGGGCGTATCACCAGCTGGTCCGTCAAGTGCCCGCGCAGCGCTGTGGTGGATATGCGGATAGTACCAACTTTCCTTGGTTTCAGTTGGTCATTCCCGGGGCACTGCAGGCTGGTATGGATGCGCGGATGACGTCCACTTTGCGGGGTTTCTGCGCATGGGCAAGAAGACAGTTAGGACCGTGCTCCGCTGAACCGTTTGCCGCCACTGCTGCCCGAAATGTGGTTGAGTCCCACGATGCGACCGAGTATATAAAGGGCGGGGGGCGTATCACCAGCTGGTCCGTCAAGTGCCCGCGCAGCGCTGTGGTGGATATGCGGATAGTACCAACTTTCCTTGGTTTCAGTTGGTCATTCCCGGGCACTGCAGGCTGGTATGGATGCGCGGATGACGTCCACTTTGCGGGGTTTCTGCGCATGGGCAAGAAGACAGTTAGGACCGTGCTCCGCTGAACCGTCTGCCGCCACTGCTGCCCGAAATGTTGGCTTTACCGCAGGGCTTTTTCGATCCAGTGAAGTTTGATAATTTTTTGGTAATTGTCTTATTGTCTCCCTAAAACGGACGTGCAAAGATGCATATTTGGCCTGAGCAGTCGCAAATGCTTATATTTGTTTGATGCACAAGTGGCCTGTGCTAAGTTCATTTCGTATCATGTATTGCTCTTCTGCTCATGCCCGCTTTACCGCAGTACTTTTGTGATGCAGTGAAGCTTAATCATCTTTTGGTAATTGTCTTTTTGTCTCTCTGAAACGGACGTGCCAAAATGCTTATTTGGCCTGAGCAGTCGCAAATGCTTATATTTGTTTGATGCACAAGTGGCCTGTGCATGCGTTCATTTCGTATCATGTAATGCTCTTCTGCCTATGCTGGCTTTACCACAGTGCTTCTGCGATGCAGTGAAGCTTGATCATATTTAAGTATTTGTCCTTTTGTTTGCCTGAAACGGACATGCCAAGATGCATAATTGGCCTGAGCAGTCAAAAATGCTTATATTTGTTCGATGCACAAGTACCCTGTGCATGCGTTCATTTCGTAACATGTAATGCTCTTCTGCTCATGCTGGCTTTACCGCAGTGCTTTTGCGATGCAGTGAAGCATGATCATAATTAAGTATTTGTCCTTTTGTTTGCGCGAAACGGACGAGCCAAGATGCATATTTGGCCTGAGCAGTCGCAAAAGCTTATATTTGTTTGATGCACAAGTGGCCTGGGCATGCGTTCATTTCGTAGCATGTAGTGCTCTTCTGCTCATACTTGCTTTACCGCAGTGATTTTTCGATGCAGTGAAGCTTGATCATATTTTAGTATTTGTCCTTTTGTTTGCCTGAAACGGACGTGCCAAGATGCATATTTGGCCTGAGCAGTCACAAATGCTTATATTTGTTTAATGCACAAGTGGCCTGTGCATGCGTTCATTTCGTATCATCTATTGCTCTTCTGCTCATGCTGGCTTTACCGCAGTACTTTCGCGATGCATTGAAGCTTAATCATCTTTTGGTAATTGTCCTTTTGTTTGCCTGAAACGGACCTGCCAAGATGCATATTTGGCCTGAGCAGTCGCAAATGCCTGTATTTGTTTGATGCACAAGTGGCCTGTGCATGCGTTCATTTCGTATCATGTAATGCTATTCTGCTAATGCCTGCTTTACCGCAGTGCTTTCGTGATGCAGTGAAGCTTAATCATCTTTTGGTAATTGTCTTTTTGTCTCTCTGAAACGGACGTGCCAAGATGCATATTTGGCCTGAGCAGTCGCAAATGCTTATATTTGTTTGATGCACAAGTGGCCTGTGCATGCGTTCATTTCGTATCACGTAATGCTCTTCTGCTTATGCTGGCTTTACCGCAGTGCTTTTGCGATGCAGTGAAGCTTGATCATATTTAAGTATTTGTCCTTTTATTTGCCTGAAACGGACATGCCAAGATGCATATTTGGCCTGAACAGTCGCAAATGCTTATATTTGTTTGATGCACAAGTACCCTGTGCATGCGTTCATTTCGTAACATGTAATGCTCTTCTGCTCACGCTGGCTTTACCGCAGTGCTTTTGCGATGCAGTGAAGCATGATCATATTTAAGTATTTGTCCCTTTGTTTGCGCGAAACGGACGAGCCAAGATGCATATTTGGCCTGAGCAGTCGCAAGTGCTTATGTTCAATTAATGCACAAGTGGCCTGTGCATGCGTTCATTTCGTATCAAGTATTGCTCTTCTGCTCATGCTGGCTTTACCGCAGTACTTTCGCGATGCATTGAAGCTTAATCATCTTTTGGTAATTGTCCTTTTGTTTGCCTGAAACGGACCTGCCAAGATGCATATTTGGCCTGAGCAGTCGCAAATGCCTATATTTGTTTGATGCACAAGTGGCCTGTGCATGCGTTCATTTCGTATCATGTAATGCTATTCTGCTCACGCTGGCTTTACCGCAGTGCTTTGTCGATGCAGTGAAGCCTAATCATATTTAAGTATTGGTCTTTTTGTTTGCCTGAAACGGACGTGCCAAGATGCATATTTGGCCTGAGCAGTCGCAAATGCTTATATTTGTTTGATGCACAAGTGGCCTGTGCATGCGTTCATTTCGTAACATGTAATGCTCTTCTGCTCATGCTGGCTTTACCGCAGTGCTTTTGCGATGCAGTGAAGCTTGATCATATTTAAGTATTTGTCCTTTTGTTTGCGCGAAACGGACGAGCCAAGATGCATATTTGGCCTGAGCAGTCGCAAATGCTTATATTTGTTTGATGCACAAGTGGCCTGGGCATGCGTTCATTTCGTATCATGTAGTGCTCTTCTGCTCATACTTGCTTTACCGCAGTGCTTTTTCGATGCAGTGAAGCTTGATCATATTTTAGTATTTGTCCTTTTGTTTGCCTGAAACGGACGTGCCAAGATGCATATTTGGCCTGAGCAGTCGCAAATGCTTATATTTGTTTAATGCACAAGTGGCCTGTGCATGCGTTCATTTCGTATCATCTATTGCTCTTCTGCTCATGCTGGCTTTACCGCAGTACTTTCGCGATGCATTGAAGCTTAATCATCTTTTGGTAATTGTCCTTTTGTTTGACCGAGTATATAAAGGGCGGGGGCGTATCACCAGCTGGTCCGTCAAGTGCCCGCGCAGCGCTGTGGTGGATATGCGGATAGTACCAACTTTCCTTGGTTTCAGTTGGTCATTTCCGGGCACTGCAGGCTGGTATGGATGCGCGGATGACGTCCACTTTGCGGGGTTTCTGCGCATGGGCAAGAAGACAGTTAGGACCGTGCTCCGCTGAACCGTCTGCCGCCACTGCTGCCCGAAATGTGCTGCCCGAAATGTGACCAACCTGTCACAATCAATTTTTTCATTTGTAAGTACACATCCCTTCTTCGTCTGGGTGCCCCACGGTAGAACATAGTGCGTTTTTATTTATTTTGACACAACGTGACGCGATCGTGTAGTGGGCATTCCAAAGAAAAAAGCGAGTTCGTGCTTCCTGAGCATAGTCGTGTCTCCAAGAATGCAGTGACCAGGGTAGAACGCTGCGCTCGGCTTCTTCCTTCGCGCGATAAGGTAACTAGGCGACGTTCGCTTGACGGGCCCGTTTTAGCAGCTTGGCTTGCAGGAAGGAGAGGAAGAACTCGCAGATGCGGCGATTGATTCGTGCATGCAGACCCAGGAGAAAGACGACGACGCGAACGAAATGCGGTGAACGTGACAAGTACCCAGCGCGATCAAGCTACTACTACACGAGGTGCTGCTCACCTGAGCGATGACGCAATGATATTGCAAAGAGGGACGGCGGGTATGGCGAACCGCTGGGATCACACTGCCGAAGCATCAAGTGGGTAGCCCTGAAGAGGGCTGTTGTGTTCTCGTTGGCTGGCTGCAGGCGACGCCGCTGGCTTCTTAGCCTCCGAATCCGTACAGGGTGCGGCCCTGACGCTTGAGGGCGTACACGACGTCCATGGCTGTCACGGTCTTCCTTTTGGCGTGCTCGGTGTAAGTGACGGCATCGCGGATCACGTTCTCGAGGAACACCTTGAGAACGCCGCGAGTTTCCTCGTAGATGAGGCCAGAGATGCGCTTGACACCGCCACGGCGCGCCAGACGACGGATGGCCGGCTTGGTTATGCCCTGGATGTTGTCACGCAACACCTTTCGATGACGCTTGGCGCCACCCTTCCCCAGCCCTTTGCCACCTTTGCCACGGCCAGACATGACGGCTTGTGAAGTTTCTGCTTCTGCTTCGAAACGCGCCCAGAAAGCGAATGCTCCACACGATCGAGTCGCGGTGTCGGCGCCGGCCCGCGAGACTGAGGAGGAAGGCGAACGGCGCACGCCGGTTGGTCGGCGGCCAGCTCGTCTCTCTCCCTCTTTTCTTCGCGAGGAGCGCGTTGGCCGCGCAGGTTGCTGCACTGACTATTTTTCTGCACTACAAGATTGAATATACACGGCAAACATGCTTTCGTTTGTTTGTTTGTTTTTAATTCTTTTCTCGTTACTGTTGCTAAGTTTCTTGCCCATTCATTCACGCACCCTTCACTGCTGCAAAATGGCGTATCAGTCGTATCAGCTGCCCCAGCGGCAAGGAGACATCAAACCGAGGTAAGCGCAATTCATGTACGCGTACGTACAAGCCCAGCGGATAACAACGCGTTCGCTAAAAAAACGTTTCATCGTGTCCACTGAACATGACACACGCAATATTGTCAAAACTCACAGCTGCAACAGCTCACCTGTGTGCCGCACGTAAATAAACTGCACACTTAAACACTTTGCGACTACTCGTCCCCGGCGTGTGCCCCCTCCCTCTTTTTTTTCTTTTCTATGTTCTCGCTTTCTCTCTAATCACATCAATGCCTCATTTGCACGCACGAAACCCGTTTCACGGCGTCACTTTGACGCCATCCTTGTCGCCAACACCAAGGGACTAACACACGCGGTCCGGGCACGGCCTCATGGCCGGGAATTTCTAAACAAAGCGTGCTCGCGTTGTTGTGGACGCCGGCACGTAAATTCGGCAAAGTAACAGCACCTTTGCTGGCTACGCGTGTCTCTAAATTTACTGTGGCAGCTCCACTACATATCGCGATACGGCAGTTTCACCGAAGCCACGCAACGCGACCGCGCTCATTTCAGCATTCACGGGGACGGCAGAGAGTGAGAGCGCACCTCCTCTCGGGCGCGCCTCTCCTCCCGTAAACACGGACTGTCAAGCGGTCCGGTCGCAGCGAAGTTTCCCCATCTCCTTGCGGGGGTGGTTCACACCTGCCCGTTTCAAGTGCACGGTTGCACTGTGAGGAACCCTGCAAGGGTCACGCAATTACAGGCAAAACAGCCCTAACTCTAAAGCGCCTTACATAGGACGAGATTGGAGCGTAAAATGCACCACCCTTTATGCATTCTTTCTTCTTTACAGCGTTGGAAGAGTGTTCGTTCGCTGCATGTTTTACGCATGCGTACTTTCGCTTACATAATACCTTCGGAGGCTGACAACCTGTTAAGTAATCTATCACGACTATCCGGACGGCATCAGCTGTGCAAAGAAGATTTGCAGTTGGCCTTCCAGAGCCGTCCAGAGCACACAAAGTAGGTCTACACATCGTGGCAACCAATATTTCGAAAAAAGTGAATTGCGTAGTATTATAAAGAATACCAACTTTCAGAATGAGCAAAACTGCTTGGTTTGACCAAAGTACAAAGAGGGTGCGATTTATACCACATCGATCCATTTATTGAATTAAAAATTACGCTGGCATTAGATAGAATACGGAAACTCTAATTGACCGATTGAGGCTAGGCACGGCATACACAAAACATTTGTTTTTTTTCTTTGCACAGACACGGCAGAGCTGAAAGTCCCGAATGCGAATGCGGATTGATAGATGAAGACGTATGTCACCTTCTCGTAGACTGTCCACATCACGAGACGCCGTCTTAAGTCCGAACAGTTGGCATTAGACCGCAGACCGTTTAACATGAAGAAACTTCTGGGTCCGTGGCCTACTCGAGTTTTACAGTCGCACGCTTTAAAAGCATCAACACGTTCTTTACAAGACAGCGGGATTGCTGATAAGTATTAAGAAATAACGAACTTTCATTTGTAACAAATGTACTTATTATGTACAGTATCACGTGACTCTCATCATGTGTGTGTTGTGAAATGATGACGTGTCGACAATTATGTACACACGAGCGAATGCATCTTTATACGGACCAGACGTGTGCTCTACTGTTTTGTGCTGGTGGACCGAATATTAACGAGGGACATTATATCAGAGACTTCATTCATTGACTTTCGAACATTTACTTACCATTGTGTTCTGATATGTGCGTATAAGTGTAAGTGTGTCTTTGCATATCTCTGCCCGAGTTTTCTACTTTCCATGCACTGCTTTGTACGTTTTGCTTCAAGATACGTGTTCAAGTTTAACTCAACGGCCAAGGAGTAGCCGGCGCCATAATGGTGCGCCGACATCTCCTTACATATCATATCAATAAGAAAAAAAGATGCGCGCCAATGCCATCGATTGTATTCCCTTCTCACGTGCCCCAATACCAAACTGCGCGTGCCATTTCTGTGGTGCAGGTGTGTTTAAGTAGCGTCGCAGTTCATCTTTCACAATCATGAGGGTTCCCATATTGAAAGTATTCCTTCCCCGAACTGGTGGCAGGGACGCACGATGCGAAATTACAAAATGATCGCGCTTGAAAGCTTCATACAAAGGCACTGTCGACCCGCCGACATAGTCAGTAATCTAAAACAAAGCGGAAATAAACGGTGCGTCCGCTTCATTCCATTTAAGGTAAGTTTCCCACCACATTCCGAATGGAACTACCACTCATTGTGCCTAGCACAGGCGCATTTGTTCTTTCGAAGAGAACACAGTGTTCCGCTACACCGTGTATTATGTAAACGTCAAGCCGAGCAGTGTCGTTTGCTGGCCGGCCTGGCTATGTTTCTTTCGGCGACGCGCAAACGTGAGCACTCGGTGCGAAAACGGGAAATGCCCATACCTCCTGTCGACCGCCTTTCTTTACTGGATTTCGTACTTCTTTGTGCACTATATAAATCACCTGCGTGGTACCCCTGTCATGCGTACGCACATTTTTTTTTTCCTTCACTCGGGCTGTCGATACTTTGCTTTCGGACAATAATTAGCATGCAGTCCGCCGCCACGCTTTTCTGCTTCTACAGCTATTGTCACATGCGTCTATATATTTCTCCCCTATCTTTTCTTGCATCAATGCTTCCGCACATTTTTCACCGCGCCACGCACTTTAAGCTACATTCACTCCTCCTACAGTCTCGAAACGGGCCTGCCCTGCGCTCTCAAGAAATAAATGCCCCAATTTCGTAAACAAATGAATGGCGTGGCAGAGAAGGAACTCTGCGCTGTCTGATGAATGTGGCTGTACCCTTCACATCGGGCGGCAGCTATCACCACCTAGCCATAATGCTGACCTAACAAACAGCTACAGTTTTTTTCTCTCTTTAAATAGTGAAGTATAGGACCGCGGTGCTTTGCAGTGAATGGTTTAGTTTTCACTCTTGCCTTGACTTTAGCCACCAATAAGATAACCACCTTCTAGTTAATTCTACCCGCCTAAAGTCTATTTTGCCCTCCCCCGTCTCTAAACCCCGGTGCTTTTGAAAAACTCTGCGCCATCATTCTAAACTATAAGGTGAAGCCCTTTACATAGCATTATCAAGTGTTCGGCAGTTTCCTTCTCTCCGCATGCACTGCATACCGTGTATACCCCTTCATATTTGGCCCGACATGTCGGAGTTGCTCGGGCAAGCGCTGACGCGAGTTTCCTATTCTATCATTCCCCTAGAGCTGAACACACTCGAGTTCATGTTACCTTTTGAGAGAAGCGGCCACCTTCCCCCTGTTTTTTTTTTTTAATTACCACGCTCCTGGTTTTGTTTTCCCTCCATTACCGTACTTGTGGCACTTTTCTCCGCGCACTCGGTCTTCTCTAATTTACCTGTTCAACCTCCCCGAGCACACACGTCGAGCGCGGCACACCAACGCTCCTGCTAGCGGTGTTCAACAGAGAGAAGAGGATGGATTCGGAGCCGAATCT